GCTGGGGGATTGAACCGCGGTCCCTGTGTTTTGCTTAGCTTAGCTTGTTCTAAGTAGGTGCTTTAGACCACTGAGCCACCTACCTTGGCCCGATGCCAAGGTTTTGTCTGCACACTACCACCCAGATTTTGTGCAGGGGACAGGCTAATTAGTAGTCCCAAGTGATTGAACTTTTCCTCTGTACATTCTTCTTGTCTCTTGGTTATATGGAGCTGCACTTTTGAAAGATATTCAGGAATCTATTAAAAGGGCCACTAAATCAATGAAATATTATCTTAATGTTCATTTTTCAAGATTCTTAGACATTCATATCACATAATGGACTTAACCGAAAATGCCCAAATTTGACACCCATCTTTAGCCCTAGGAGCCAGTTACTGAGAAGTCTCCTTACCACTTGATCTAATTTTTCTCTCCTGTGGTACTGGACTCAAACCCAGGGTCTGTGCGTGCTAGGCAAGTGCTCTTTCACTGAGCTGCAGCTCAACCCTGCTCTAAATTTTGTGTATATTCAAATCAGGCAATATTTTAAGTTAGAACAGCAAATTATTCTATACTACTAATGGATACTTTCTGTAATTCCTTCCTCAAGCATAATTTTACTTTACATGTGTCTCTGCACTAAAACCACATACTCACTGTCTTATAAACTGAACTGCATCTTCATACTTCATTCCACACTCAATCAAAGCAAGCGCAACCAGCACAGGTGCCCTGCAAACAGAAACACATCTGTAAGTATCCACAAGCCTTTGAAGATGAAGTATGTTATAAAACCCAGTATTACATGTTACCAAGACAAAGCAAAGCTTGAGCTTTTGTTTTTCCTTTACGTTAAAATATCTGGTATTCTCCTATGCAATAAAAATAGCTCTATAGCATGTACAATGCTATTTTTAGTCATACAATAATTTCTAAATTTATTGTACAAGATCTTTACTCTTTAAAATAACACATTAAAATTTATTTATTTATTTATTTATTTTTATTTATTATTTGAGAGAGAGAGAGAGAGAGAGAGAGAGAGAGAGAGGTGTGTGGCCAGCTCAGCCCACCAGGGGGCGGGGCCGGCTGGCATGTGGTGCTGGGGGATTGAACCGCGGTCCCTGATGCCTTGCCAAGCTTGTTCTAAGTAGGTGCTTTAGACCACTGAGCCATCTCTCCAGCCCAACACATTAAAATTTTTAAAAAATCAAACATCCTTTCATGATTAAAATTAAAAATAAAAAGTCATATTAAAACTCAAAATTTTCTCATCTCTCATCAAAAATTCAGGGCCAAACAAAAAAAACAAAACAAACAAATAAAACAAAACAAAACAAAACACCTTAGTGTAAGGCCCGGGGGATGGCTCAGTGGAATAAGCACTTCCCTGGCAAGTGCAAGGGCCTGAGTTCAATCCCCGGTTCCACCAAAAAAAAAAAAAAAAAAAAATTCACGGCCAGGAAAATAGCTCAGTGGATTAAAGTGCCTATAAGCAGGCGCAGGGGGCTGGGGTTTTGATCCCCAGGCCTGTCATGCCAGCAATTGAGACTGGGCGTGGTGGCACAGGCCTGTCATCCTAGTTCTTGGGAGACTGTAAACAGGCGGATCACTACCAGTCTGATCTAATAGTGAGACCCTGAACACCCTGTAAACCCTTCCCTAAAATACAAAAAAAAAAAAAAAAAAATCATCAAAATTCACTGATTTTTAACATTATCACAGTATGGCCAAGGGTCTCAGAATTTTCATTACAAATTGACTTTAATGTCTCCTTAGCATGTGGCAAGGCTTTTTCAACCACATCCCCCTGATGAGCTACGTGAGTGCCAGAAATAATTAGAAACAGTTCTTTCAGTGTTTTCTTAAGAATTAACAAGGAAAATTATGCTTTGTTTTGGAGACAGAGTCTTGCTATAGGCTTGTCCTGAACTATTTCACCTAGGTTGGCCTCAAAACACACTTCAACCCTCCTGTCTCAGCTTCCAAAGTACTAGGATTATAGGCATGTGGCACCATGCCCAGCTTGGAAATCATGTTTTTTTAAAAAGTCCCACTCCGGACTAGACTATGATAACTATTGCAATAAAATTTCACTACTCAAAACTGTAACAGTATGTTCACCTTTCAGGATAAGGTGACTCTAACTTTTGGCCTTATGAAGACACTTGACCACACTTCAAAGGAGCAAAACAGAGCTAACAACCAGAGGCAATGACAGCATATCTCACTGTGCTAAATCAAAGTGCACATCACAAAGTGACATTTAACATTCCACTGATAACTGAAGCAACACCATCCCAACAATGCTCAGAGAAAACACAATTTTTATTATCTATACATTGGTCATTTGTTCTCCAGCTATTAAGTTCCCATTCATCTCAATCCAAAATTACCATGTATAACTCTTTAATCTCTAAAAATGATTTTAATTTTCTTGCCAATTTCAATGACCTAAACCTTTGATTATTTAAAAATGGGGAAACATTTTTTAAACTCATTAATATAGTATGGCATCAGAATTAAACAATGAGATGAAACACCAAAAAGGCCATTTTGAAAAATCATTACACTAGCTTTTGCTCTCTTTCCAGTAATTTATTGTATGTAATTTAGCATAATACTGGCAAGTTTCTACAAAGTGAAATTTTTAAATGGCTTACTTAAGTATGATAAATGAACTCAGACCAAAGATGAAAGTTTACCTTCCCAATCCTGCAACGCAATGCACTGCAACACAGCAACCGGGCTCTTCACGAAATTTGGTTTTTAACAGGTTCAGCCAATCTTCTACTATCTGATTAGGGGGTGGAGCTCCATCATCAAATGGCCAATCCTGAAAAGAATTGGTAGAGAAATTACATTAAGCTGGTATTTTCTGTAGATTAATATCCTAATACAGAAGAGTTGTACATCGTAGACAAAGCAGGCCTAGCTGATCTATATGAATCTATTATCACAAGTCTGATCATTGCTGAAAAATTATCCAAGACTGAATTTAAATGTACCCCCAAAAATCGCTCACCTCCATGAAATGCAATCTGTGTCAGATGTATCTAAATTTATGTTACAGAAATCTCTACCAGAGGGGGCTGGGGAGATGGCTCAGTACAATAAGCACTTCCCTGGCAAGTGTAAGGCCGGAGTTCAATCCCTGGTTCCCCCTCCCCCCCACCCCAAAAAAGCAGCACTTATTCTACTAAGCCATCTCCTCAGCCCTGGAAATTTTTTATTTTATTTTTTTGCGGTACCAGGGATTGAACTCAGGACTCTGCGCTTGCCAGGCAAGTGCTTATTCTACTGAGCTATCTTCCCGAACCCAGTTGGAAATTTTTTTTAAATATATAAAACCTATTCTAATGAGTCTGAGTAAGAAGACTTCAAGACACTAGAGAAGGAACAAGAAAAGCAACAGTGCACTAAATTGATTCTGCACTCATTACTGGAACTACTAGAACACTTCATGTATAGTCCATTAGCCACAACAGCACATTATGTTTGAATTGTCATCTATGCCCCATAATTAAAAAGCTGTCAGTGTTATTATGTCACTGAAGAGTTTAACTATAAATAGCAATAAAACTTATAAGCACCTTAGTGACGAGTCTCCTTTAATACTCCCTAAAATGGACCTTGTTAAGAAATAATTTGCAAAAATAAAAGCTTCCCTAAACCACCATTAAAAACCATTAGTCTATTCCAGAGTGCCTTTAAAACAAAATTTTTTTCTTTTTTAAATGGTCTTACTATGTAGCCCACATTGGCCTTCAACTTTCCATAGAGCCAAGGCTGGCCTTGAACTCATGATTCTCCTGCCTCAGCCTCCTCAGGATTATAAGCATGCACCACTGTATCTGGCTCCAACATGCCTTTGATTTGAGAGAGCATTCAAAAAATTGAAAAGAGCTTATTTGGGGAGATATTCTCTTAACTTTCCAAATGCTATTCATTGAACAACCAAAAATTAATTCCATCTTTAAGCTCTGTGTGGGAAAAGCAAATTTCACACTTAATACTAAATACCCTTTATTTTTTCCTCAAGCTTAAGTTAGACCTTTAATTTAATATGATCACAACTATTTAAAAGAAAACAAAAAGCTCAATTTAAAGGCCTGGAATAAATCCCAGATCTACCATTATCTTCCACAAACTAGTTTAAGTTCTTAGTTCACTTCTACTTCCCAAGTGTGTTTACCAACATTACTGATTCAAAGAGACTACAGCAGGGGCTGGGGAGATGGCGCAGTAGAATGAGCGCTTGCCTGGCAAGCACAAGGGCCTGAGTTCAATCCCTGGTTCTGACCAAAAAAATAAATAAATAAATAAAATAAAAGGCCTAGACTACATCTTACATTTAGAATTATCGCCAGTGATTCCCCATCCATGAGCTATTTAGAATGGACATTTAAGCATATTATTATCATGCTATACTAGTAAAATACTTTTAGAAACAATGTTTTGCTATTTGTTGTTTTTACCAAAACAGGTAGATCAGACATGAGATGGCTGTTACCAATAGGAAATTTATTACTTACATGAACCACTTTCCAAACTGCCCACCAAAACTATCCACAAAACTAACCACCTTTCAATAAAAACTGTGAACACAACCTTGAACAAATACTTTATTACTTTCTTCCTAGTACACTACTGTCCTACAAATCAAATATCCCTGACATCTAACACTATCAGGTTAATTTCATTAAATGATCCTAAAAACCACTCCTATTATTTATGTATGTATATATGTATATATGTATATATGTATTTATTTATTTATTTTGGTGGAACCGGGGATTGAACTCAGGCCCTTGCACTTGCCAGGGAAGTGCTTATTCCACTGAGCCATCTCCCTGGCCCCTCACTCCTATAATTTAGACAACCATTTAGGAAAGAAAATTTAAAATTTTAACTAATCTAAAGCTATTTTCTCTAACGAAACAAGATACTTAGATAATAAAAAGGAATTCAAAATAATTCAAACCACTTTGTGTTCAAATTGAGTTATAAAAGAAATCTAGCCTCAAAAAAGTTTTGCAGAAGCCAAGCATGGTGACACACACATACAACCTTAGCACTCGAGAGGCTGGTGACAGAGTGTCTGGTTGTAGCCATGACTGGTGCTGCATGTCTAATCCCAGCACTCTGGAAAGGTAAGGCAGAAGAAGCCTGGGCAATTAGTGAAAGCCTTTCACAAAAAATGAAAAAAGGGCTGGAGATGCAGATCAGCACAAAGGTCCAGATTCAACTCCCAGTACCATTCATACACAGCTCAAAAAAAAAGCTTATAGAAATTATCTTCAGGTAACTTAAACTACTACCCTAGGAACAAAAGCTACATAATACATTAATTTCCCAAATGCAAATTTCCATTTTCTTGGGATGTTGGAAACTAATCTTTTTGCTTCTTCTTTGCTGAAAATACTCTGTAATTATAGACTTTAAAGACACAACTAAATAAAACTGTCAATATATCAACTCAATCCTACTTTTCTTTGGGGGTGGGGGGGGTAAGACAGGGTCTCACTATGTAACTCAGGCTGGCCTAGAACCCTCAGCAATTCTTTAGCCTCAGCCATTCTTCAGCCTCAGCCTCCCAAGTGCAGGAATTACACGTGTGTGTCACCACACTCAGCTTAAGACCCATTTTTGTAAAGTACAATTTAGTAGCATAACACAATTTTAACAGATCATTACCAATATTTTATTCCCTATCATAACTTCAAAAAAGAAGCAAAATTACTGGGTATCAAGTTATATAATTATCTTTGAAAGGTACAACTTATCTGTAGTGGAAAACTAAACTACTACACACTCACTAGAACGTGGATTCCTTCCTTTTCAACTGGAGCTTTATCATATGTAGCATCACAAACTCGAACCAAAGTTGTCACTCCATACTTCTTGAGTTCCTTTAAAGAAAAACAATTGTAAGGGAACTTACTCCTGGAACCTGAAACCAAAGCTTCAGAAATGTACCATTATAAATCAAATCAATGATATCATTCTTAGACAGATTAAAATTGTTCTCATTGTTGCCAGGTGTCTGTAATCTCAGCACTTAGAAATATCAGTGTTCAAGGCCAGCCTGAGCTACATAGTAAATTCAAGGCCAGCAGATGCCAGGGATACAGCTCAGTACTACAGTGCCTGCCTGGCCAAGCATGAGGTCCTGAGTTTGATTACAAGTACCCCCCAAAAAAGAATGACACTATCAACTAATTATTGAAAGGTGTAAAACAACATGGCAAGACCTTGACTCAAAAACAAAAAACAGGGCTGGTGAGATGGCTCAGTGGTCTAAGGCACCTACTTAGAACAAACTAAGCTAAACAAAGCACAGGGACCATGGTTCAATCCCCCAGCACCACATGCCAGCCAGCCCCGCCCCCTGGTGGGCTGAGCTGGCCACACACACACAAAAATAAATAAATAAATAAATATTTAAAAAAAAAAACATCATTCCCATTATGGGTAACATAACATCAACACTTAGAACATTGAATAGAAGGTAAATAAGTCTCATCTTACTTTTCTTTGGGGGTGGAGGGTAAGACAGGGTCTTACCCCAAGCTGGCCTTGAACACTAATCTTCCAGGCTGGCGTCACCACACTAAGCTTAAGACTCCTCTTTCTAAAGAACAATTTAGTAGCAAAATACAAAAACTGTTCACATATACTTTGACCTAGAAACTCTGCACAGGGTCTCACTGTGTAGAATGGACTTGTAGTGATCCTCCTGTTTACAGCTTCCTAAGTGCTGGGATTACAGGCATGCACCACCACACCCAGTCTCAATCTCAGTGCACCCTGGAGGTGGGGCCAGAATGGTAGGCCCAGGGATCAAACTCCTGGCCCCTGCATCTGCCTAAGCAGGCGCTTTAATCCACTGAGCTATTTGGCTCGCCCTTATTTTTATTTTGAGAAGAAAAGTGGCATACTAAAAGGACATGTAGGGCTGGTGAGATGGCTCAGTGGTCTAAAGCACCTACTTAGAACAAGCTTAGCAAAGCACAGAGACCACGGTTCAATCCCCAGCACCACATGCCAGCCAGCCCCGCCCCCTGGTGGGCTGAGCTGGACACACACACACACATACACACATACAAATAAATAAAATAAAATAAAAGGACATGTAGGGGCTGGGGAGATGGTTCAGTGGAATAAGTGCTTCCCTGGCAAGCGCAAGGGCCTGAGTTCAATCCCCGGTTCCACCAAAAAAAAGTTTGGCCCGGTAAATAGCTCAGTAGAATAAAACGACATGTAATACACAATTATAGCCCTTGCTCCTTTAAAATCCTTTCAGGGGTCAGCAAAATGGCTTAGTGGACTAAGTGCCTGCTTAGGCAAGCACAGGGACTGGAGTTTGATCCCCAGTACCATATGCCATGCCAGCCCCACCAGCGGGCATGCTGAGCCAGCCACTGAGACCAGGTATGGTGGCACACACCTGTAATCCCAGCACTGGGGAGGCTGAAAACAAGAGAATCAACAGAGTCCAAGCTGCATACTGAGACCCTGTACCAAATACATTAAAAATGACATAAATAAAGTAAAACCCTTTCTGCAGCGAGTACCTGATCCAATAGTTACCTGTCTTCAAGGGACTATCATCTTTTTACAATATTATTACAGCAACCTTTGCCACTTTTGGAGTCCATAGCCAAGGGATTCATAGGTTGAAACAGTATCACATAATTCCACCAGATTTAAAGGTGACTAAAGGGTTGGCCAAATAGCTCAGCAAATTGGGGCCGGGGTTCAAAACCCTGGGGCCTGCCATGCTGGCCCTGCCCCGAGGTCATGCTGAGACAGCAATTGAGACTGGGCATGGTGGCACATGCCTGTAATCCCAGCTCTTGGGAGGCTGTAAACAGGTGGATCACTATGAGTCCATCTAGTAGTGAAACCCTGAACACCCTGTGGACCCTACCCTAGATATAAATAAATAAATAAATAAATAAATAAATAAATAAAATAAAGGTGACTGAACAGGCCTTACAGTCCTGGAATCAACTTTTACACTGTATACATGAAATTATGAACAAAGAATTCTAAGTATAACATAAGCAAGAATAGCACTTGCTATGGTAGCACATATAATAAGCAGGACTAGTAATTAAGAGCATTTATTATTCAGTTTTCTCATGAGTAAAGTTATTTTAATTGTAGGAGATTGATACAAAAGTGACTATTATAGTAAGTTGAGAGTTTTGTTTCTAAGTACAAATAAAACCGTATTGAAATGGCCAGGTGTGGAGCCAGTAAGATATCTCTAAAGTGCCTGCTTAGGCAAGCTTAGGCAGGCGCAGGGGACCTGACCGAGGTTCCATCCCTGGTACCACATGCCCCACCCTCAGGGTGGGCTGAACCGCCCCAACCCCCACCCAAAAAAGGCTAGGCTGGGCTACATACATCCTGAACTACACAGATGACACCATGATTCAAAAACACCACCAATGGCAGGGAAGATAGCTCAGAGGCATAAGCACCTGCCTGGCAAGTACATGGTCTTGAGTTCAATCCCTGCTACCACCAAAAA